GAGGGTAAGGTCTTACTCCTGGGGGACTCTGACTTCAATCTAGAAGGGTAAAATCTTGCTCCTGGGGGCCTCCAACTCCTGGAAGGGGTGAGGTCTTGGTCCTGGGGGCTCCAACTCCTAGGTGGGGTGAGATCTTGCTCCCGGGGGGCTCCGACTTCTAAAAGGGTGAAGTCTTGCTCCTGGGGGCTCCAACTCCTAGGAGGGGTGAGGTCTTGCTCCTAGGGGGCTCTGACTCCTAGAAGGGTGAAGTCTTGCTCCTGGGGTCTCCAACTCCTGGAAGGGGTGAGGTCTTGCTCCTGGGGGGCTCCAATTTCTAGGAGGGTGAAGTCTTGCTCCTGGGGTACTCTGACTCCTAGGAGGAGTGAGGTCTTGGTCCTGGGGTCTCCGACTCCTGAAAGGGATGAAGTCTTGCTCCTGGGAAGCTCTGATTCCTAGGAGGGTGGGTGGGGTCTTGCTCTGGGAGGACTCTGGCTTCTAGGAGGATGAAGTCTTACTCCTGGGGGACTCTGACTTCTGGAAGGGGTGAGGTCTTGTTCCTGGCATCTACGTGGCCTGTGGTTGCAGGGAGCTAGAGTTTTCTTGACTCATGTCATTCCCTTTGGCAGTCAGTTCATTAGAGAGGAGAATTCAAGGACGAGGATCCCTGGGTGAGGTTCATGGGAGGTGCAGTTGCTGCTGCCGCCTGTGGACGTGGCTGTGCTTCTTCCTCTTGTGCAGGGGCTTTCAAAGGGAAGACACTTTGTCTGTTGTCTTGTCTTTTGGAGGTGGTATGGTGGTGTTCTCGTTAGTGAAAACTTGATGCAACTCTGAGAGTGGCAATACAGGTTAAAGATCCCTGAACCCCAAATCTGAAGTCCATAATGTTCCCAAACTTTGTGAGCATGAACATGACACTCAAAGGAAGTGCTTTTTGGAGCATTTTGGATTTCAGGTTTTTAGATTAGGTATGCTGCACTGGTGGGTATTTGCAAATATTCTGAAATCCAATCTCCGAAACACTGCTTTGCAAAAGGTGGCAGTTGGCACCTTGCAGTGTTTCCCTTTAATTACATGTTTGGTTGTTTTTTGTTTTGTTTTGTTTCGTTTTGTTTTGTTTTGTTTTTGAGTTGGAGTCTCACTCCGTCACCCAGACTGGAGTGCCGTGGCCGCTCCCGGCCACCGCAGCCTCAACCTGCTGGGCTCTGGCAATCCTTCCGCCTCAGCCTTCCAAGTAGCTGGAACTACAGGCACACGCTACCATGCCCGGCTAATTTTTTTTTATTTATTGTGGAGATGAGGTCTCGCCTGCCCAGGTGGGTCTCGAACCTGCAGGCTCAGGCAATCCACTTACCTCAGCCTTCCAAAGGCGCAGGATTACAGGCTGAGCCACCGAGCCCGGCTGTTTTTGTTTTTAATTATTTGGAGTCAGAGTCTCACTCTGTTGTCCATGTTGGAGTTCAGCGGCACAATTCCAGTTCACCTTAACCTTGGCCTCCTGGGCTCCAGCAATCCTTCTGTCTCAGTTTCTCAAGAAGCTGGGACTACAGATGCATGCCACCACACCTGGCTCAATTTGATATTTTTTGTAGAGACGAGGAGGTCTTGACCCACTCTTAAACTTTTAAAAAATTAATACAAAACCAGGCTGGGTGCAGTGGCTCATGCCTGTATTCCCAGCATTTTGAGAGTCCTAGACAGGAGGATTGGTTGAACCCAGGAGTTTGAAACCAGCCTGGGCAACATAGGGAGACCTTCTCTCTACAAAAAAAAAAAAAAAAATTGGGCCGGCATGGGGGGGCACACCTGTAGTCACAGCTATTTGGGAGACCGAGGCAGAAGGATCTACTGAACCCAGGAGGTTGAGGCTTTGGTGAGTTGTGAGTGTGCCACTGCACTCCATCCTGGATGGCTGAGTGGGACCCTGACTCAGAAAAAAAAATTTGATATCCAGATAACTGTGTAGGAAACTCTTGTCTTAGGTGGTGTGGAAGACAGATAACGTGATCTGATGCAGTCAGGATACCAGATTACAGAAGCCACAGCTTGTGTGGCTTGTTGGACGCATAAGCTGCTTGTCTGGCGCTGTGGGGTCAGAATGGCTCTCGTGTTGCAGTGCTGCCTCCTGTGGACCGTTGCATGGAGGTCTGGGACTGCACTTCTCACCTTGCCTTTTCCTGGCAAATCTCGCTGACCTGGTACACGTTGTCGCCTTTCTGGCTAGATGTAGGTGAAGGTAGCCAGGTGTGTCATTATTGGCACTTTCAAAACCTCTTGGCAAATTCCTCAATACTCTTTAAAAAAAATTCCTTTAGAATTTTGGTCTTGAGACTTTTTTAGCAGTGGGTGGAGGGAATCTTTACCCTTCTCACTAGAAGTCACAGGATGTTTTTCTGGTAAGTAGATTTTGGACAGGAGTGGGGAAGTGAAAGGGGAGTATGGTAAGGTTTATTTGTCAGGAGTTGCTTGTGTAGAGAGGAGATGGTTGAAGCCACATGGAGTGAGTGGGTGGCGCCCTGAAGCTGGTCCAGTGACACAGGGGCACCTGGCAATGGGGATGGGCTGTGCACCCCTAACCTGGCAGCTTTTTACTTTTTGGGGGCACAGAGCCCATTTGCACTGATCGCCCCTTTCCCCAGAAAAACGCCCATCTTTTTTCTTTTTCTTTTTCTTTTTGTCTTGGTGTCTCCATTGCTTAGGCTGGAGTGCAGTGGCATGTTCACGGCTACCCCAGCGTCGATCTGCTGGACTCTGGCGATCCTTCCACCTCATTCCAAGTAGCCAGAACTACAGACATGCGCTACCATGCCCGGCTAATTTTTTGATTTATTGGAGAGATGAGGTCTTGCCAAGTTGCCCAGGCTATTCTTGAACCTGTGGTCTCCGGTAACCTCGGCCTCCCAAAATGCTGGGCTTTCAGGCTTGAGCCACCGTGCCCAGTTAAGATGCCCATCTTTAACACGTCTGACGTGCAGTTCTGTTTCAGGGGTTCTGTGCACACATACTTTCATCTAAGACTGACCAGCCAAGGCCCCATGCCACTATGGGGCTCTCTGGAGCTGGGACAAAACCCCAAGCTCTGTCCAGTGTTGCTTTGGGACCTGCATGGGCCAGGGGACTGAGGGTCCTGGGACCACTGCCTCATCTTGAGCGACATGCTGGCTTACCATGTTCTGTGAACTGACTCCCTTGACTCTAGCCCTCAAGCCCACCCTTACAGCTGAGCTGCATCCTGATGTCATTGCCAGGACACGTTTAGCCTGAGAGGCTGAGAAGTGCCTTCTCTGCTGAGCTGGTGGGGGTGCTGTGGGGGGGGCATCTGTGCCGCCTGTGGGGATGAGATTTCTGGGCCATCCCTGCTCCCTAGAATGCTGTGGTGATGTTTATGGCAGCTTGCTTAATGAGCCTATTAGAACGTGGGCTGTGTGGCTACAGGCAGGGGGCATCTGTTTACATTACAGTGTGCTCTGAGAATGTTGATGAATCTTGCCCTAGAGCCTAATTCTGTTTTTGTCATTGTTCTCGCCATCTTTTCCTGTTACCTCTGCGGAGGGAAGCTGTGGAGGGCCCCCCCACCAACTTTTCTGTCTTTTGTGAGAGAAGTACAGGGCCGTCGGGCCCACATGTTGGGGACAAAGGTTCTGAAATTCCCTTCTAGCTGACATCTGGTGCTGCAGCTGCTGTGGGCTCGTGCCCTGCGCACACCTGTAAGGTGTCAGCTCTTTTTTGGGCAGCGGGCATGGCTACAGTCCCAGGGAGGAAGGAAAGCAGGGGGTGTGTGATGAGGCAGCGGGCATAACTGTGTGTGTGTACAGCAGTGTACAGCTTGCGTGCCAGTGAAACAACTCATGGGCACCTTGCCCTATGAGAGAATGTATTTACTTTGAGGGTTTCTGGTGGAAATGAAGTGTAAAATGATCACCGGAGGAAACAGTATAACTCCTGATCCCTGGTTCAGTAGATGGTGTGAACCGTGGCCTTCTTTCTTATTGGATTGACTTGCAAATGGGACATTGGTTGTGACTGCAGATCAACAATTGACTTCCAAGCCCTGGCCTGTAGGCACATGCTGGACAGCAGCACATCCTCCTGGAGTCGTGGGACTGCTTTGCTGCCACCTGTGCCATGTCCAGCTCTGGCACCGAGGGACCAGGGGCTTCATTATCTGCGAGCACCGGGCGCCACAGTCCCGATGGGGCTCTTGGTCTGACACGCAGAAGGAGCAGCAGGGTTGGGGTGTGGCCAGGTAGGCTGCTGGGTGAGCGGCAAGACCAGGTGGTCCTACATGGTGGTGCCACCTTTGTCCTTGGCAGTGGCCCTGGGCATACTCCATGTTCACAAGGCCAACCGTTGTCTCCCTCAGTGCACAGTGAAGATTCTGGGGTCAAGGAACACTTTCCCCAACATTTCACGATGAAGTTTTCAAACATGCAGGAAAGTTGAGAGGGTTTCGTCTGTCCACTCATATATTTACTCACCCATGTATCCACCACCTTGATCCTACCGTCAGGAACACTTTTCTTTTCTTTTGAGTTGGAGTCTTACTCCCTCGCCCAGACTGGAGTGCAGTAGCCGCTCCTGGCCACCATGGCCTCGACCTGCTGGGCTGCAACGATCCTTCTGCCTCAGCCTTCCAAGTAGCTGGAACTACAGGCGCGCGCTACCATGCCTGGCTGATTTTTGATTTATTGTAGAGATGAGGTCTCCCCAAGTTGTCCAGGCGGGTCTCGAACCCGCGGGCTCAGGCAATCCACTCACTTCAGCCTCCCAAGGCGCAGGATTACAGACTGAGCCACTGAGCCCGGCTAGAAACAATTTTCTTAAAGAAAAAACCATAAGAGTGACATTTGCCTAAGGTGTTGGCTTTGTTTCAGTTCTTTGCATTGCTTTGTTTTTTTGGCACTGCCTTTGGCACCTGGACAAGAGTGTGTGTGGCACTGGCACGTGCCACCCACGTGACTTGCAGGTCTATGGGAGGATCCTGTGCCAATCCTGGAAGCTTAGGTGTCCCTCTGGCCTTCTAGGACTGTGGTGAGGAGGTGTACGGCCCTGACCTTTACAGCCTCCGAGGAGAAGGTCTTGGTGGCTGACAAGTCTGGAGACGTCTACTCCTTTCCGGTGTTGGAGCCACATGGAGGCGGCCGACTGGAACTTGGGCATCTTTCCATGTTGTTGGACGTGGTATGTGGGGATGCACTGAATTCATGTCTGCTGTGGAATATCAGTGGAGTAAGGGTCTGAGTCTTTGTGTCCCAAACATCTGGTGAAGAGGGGGCTCCCCTGTAGCTGGAACGGCCCTTTGCAGACTTGGGAGTAGGGAGTGGTAGGAACAGGACTTAGGGAGATGAAGCCAATAGCGGGGTGAAGAAAGACAGGTTGTCAGTAGCTCCAGATGGGAGGGCCATCACAGTGGTGCTCCAGTCAGGTGACCTTGGGTTGGGGTGATGTCAAGAGGAAGGTGGGAGAAACAGGTGCAGCATGAGCACACCTTCTGCTTAGTTGGGCCGTGCCACATGCCTTAGGGCAGCCCTGATTCCCATCTTGTCTGCCCTGTGTGTCCCAGACACATGCCTGGAGGCCCAGAGGCCCAGGGAGGGCCGGGCCTGCAACTCGGGTAGCATAGCTGGGATTGGGCCTACGTAGGGACCAGCAGGAGGCTGGGCTGCAGGTTCCTTGCTTCCATGAGAGATGCTGTACTGGAGAAAATCCAGACATGTTCATGGTGCCGGGTGAGAAGGCAAGCCAGTGGCTCTTTCTCTTTTGACTCCTTATGCCGCAGGCTGTGAGTCCTGATGACTGCTTCATCCTTACTGCTGACCGGGACGAGAAGATCCGGGTCAGCTGGACCGTGGCGCCCCACAGCATCGAGTCCTTCTGCCTGGGGCACACAGAGTAAGTCACCCGCTTCCCCCTGCAGGGAAGCTCAAGTCAAAACAGTTCAAGTGGAGCTGTGACGCCAGGGAGTAGGTGGCATTCTGGCAGGTACCCTTCCCTGGCATTGGTGAGCATCTCAGCAAGTGCCATTGCCAGGTGAGATCAGACCCCCATGTGTGGACCTGGCAGATATGACTGACTTGCTGCCTGCAGGAACCCCGTGGGGAGGAGTTGATTCTGAGCTCATACTGGGAGTTTCTTTGCCCTCACTGGTGATTTTTATGTTGGCCTCCCAGTGAGGGCTTGTTTCTGGAAAACCCCTTTCTCAGCAGGGCCTGGCTGCTGAGAGAGGTTGGTAGGTGGATGTGTCGGAGGATGAGGAACACACATGCCAGCTGTCCAGGAATTCAATAGCCTCTGAGCCCAGCCTCTGAGACCAGGTGGTTCCCTGAGGGCTCTGACATCTGACACATGAGCTCTCTTTCAGGAAGTGACACTTTTGATGTATGTGGGAAATGTTTCTGAAGAAGACTACTCTTCTCAGCAAAAGGCTGATTAGAATTTGCACAGAGGGAATGAGCCTAGTTTAATTGGCTGCAGTGTTTAACTCTTTACACTCGGAGATTTCTTGCGTATCACCAACCGGCAACTCAACTGCAATGTTTTATGAAATAGTGAAAAATGAATCACTTCCTTTTTTTTTTTTTT